GAAAGCAGGTGAAGCTGAAGGAAAATACTCCAAGTTTCCTCTCTGTGCCTGATTTCCTGGCTGATTTTAGGGACAGATAGTTTTTGCTAATGAGACTTTCCATTATAAAGTTTCCATTGCTTTGGAAAATATTAACTTTGCTGGGTAAATCAAACAGGCCCTGCGGTTATAGTTAGAATATCCTAAAGATTTAGTTCCCAGTAATAACAGGGCTAAACCACAGCACTGCCAGAGGCAAAAACTATATTATTTGAAATGAAACTTCTCATAAATATCCAGCTATGAAGTCATTTTATATCAGCTGCTCTTATATAAACTGGACAAGGCAAACTGTCCTATCCATCAACATTAAGGCTGCCAAGAAAAATGACTCTATATTCATTGTCTTCAAGTTTCAGAGATCTCCCTCTCTCTATCAGGCTTTCCCAGGAAACACTGTGGTTTGCTCTTCTTAGTAACTTTGCTGGTACATGTAACTAGTAGCACCACCAGTGTCATCTTTGGGCTTAAACAACCTACTCTTGCCTGCCTTCTGTCACTGTCCCTCTGCTGGGAAATGGATGGACAAATACACACAAACACACCTGGCGCTCAGCGGCCACTGGCCAGAGCCAACATTGCTTTTCAGTCTTTGTTAGGTGGAAGCACCTCAAAACACTGGCAGAGACAGAACCGTGCTGGGGTTGGGTTTTGGGGTGGGTTTTTTTTTGCTCTTTTTGCTTTTTTTCTTCCATCCCCTCTCCAAACACTTAAGAGCATGTTTGTTGTGAGTCTGCAATAAGGACCAGGCCAGTCTTCAAACATACTGCAGAAAGTTGCACCCAGGAGGGGTTGAGAATAGCAAAGGGCACTCATGGTCATTGATAGCCACTCATACCATCCATCCCTCGGTGACATGAGTAAGTGGGTGCCACCCACAACCCTGGGACAGGCTGGGGACCCCAGAGCCTTACCTAGATCTCCCACCTCTTCTTACTCACTGCCTCCAGGCCCCCCAGCCCACTGCCCCATTTCTGTCCTGCTGCTCATAGCTGGCAGCATGTGCAAGAGACACGTTCTTGAGCTCTTCATTTTTTGTCTGGCTTTCTGTGGTAAGGTTTGATACATTTTCCCCAAGCTTCAGTATCTGTGAAGGCCCACTGCACCTGACTGCACTACTGAGTCACTGTTGACAGCCTTTGCCACATAGATTGTTTCACTCTGCATCAAACTGCAGCATCTGCTGCAATAAAACACACCACCTGAAAATACTGTGATCTGTGCAAAACGTGGGGATGCTTTTCCATTAGCTCTCTCTAAAATCAAGGTAGAAGGTGGACAAAACTTCATGCCCCACTTGCTTAATAGGAAGGAGAATGGTGATGGATATGGCTTCAATATTGTACTTCTGATTAAAGTGTATAGAGAAAGGTCAAGATAAGCAACTAAGATTTGCCAAGCTGGAAATGTGGGCACAACACATGGAGGAAATGACCTCCTGATACTTTCTGTGCAAGTGTCCTCACTATAATTCTCACCTCTCAAAAGAATGGCTTCAGAGAAATGCTTGATTACCTACTGCTGACTCCCTAAATATTTCCTGTATAACTGTCCCATTATGGGACAGGATGCTCAGGTGTTTCTGGGTAAAACTATAAAGCTTTCAGAAATTTGGTCACTTAAACAATAGCAGAGATGTGAAGCAGGCTTGAAAAGAACCCTTGAAACATATGACCCCTTGGAAGGAAACACTAGCTTGTGAAGAGGGATTTCCAGACTTACTTGTGAAAAAAGGAATCAATAAGCCTATATTAAATCAAACCCACGCATTTGGTACTAGAACAGTGCTAGCAGGCCCCTTCTTTGTCTTTGCAAGTTAAAATTTGAACGCCTCCAGTCACCACCACCAAAGATGCTGAAATGGGAAACAGGAGAAATCTAGTCAGCCACTGCCGGAGTTAGGTCCAAGTTGAGCCACGAAAAGCCTAGCCAAAGCCTTACAGGAAGACAGGCAACTTACAAGCAGGAGACAGACAATATTTTCTTCTTAATGTTTGGTAAATTACATGTAAAATCTAAAAAAAATAAAAAGGCAAAATATTGATCTGCCTTTTTAACATACAGATAAAATAATTAAAATATGTTATTAAAATATGCAAAATTTATAATTTAATTATACAATTACACAGCCTTATGGTCTAATAGCCCCACTGTATTTTGCATATTAGTGAACAATTGCTTTCTTAAAGCTCACAGCAGAATCATTTACTTGATGCTGGAGAATAAGTTAATTACGGATCTCCTGCCTTTGATTAATGGATTTAATAATCATGTTACAGTAGAATTAACTTATACTTCATGTGCTTACAGCACTAATGATGAGATTCATGAAAGCAATGTGTCAGCAAATAGGACTGGCACCAAAAAAGGCAATGTCTGGAGATCCCAGGACTGCCTGGGCCCTTACCGCTGCTGGTCAGCGGTTCATTACGAACCCACAAATGGCGTCCAACCATTTTTGCCTCATCTGTCATTAATCAGCACCATTTGCCACTTATTTCTACAAAACCAAATAGCATTTTCGGGTGAGCTGAGCACCTCAACTGAAGCTCAATTCTGGATACTGTGGGGGAAAAAAATTACTCTAGGGGATTGGTACAGTATCAAGTAATGCATACCCAACAGGCACAGCCACCTGTAGTCTGCTATTTATTGCCCAGTATAATAGATTAAACATTATTTTATTTAATGCTTCTTCTGTGCACGTAATACAAGCATAAAATTTCTCAGATGGAAACATGCTGAGTCAGCAAAGATTTACTCTCTCTAAAGGAACCTCCAGAATAGGTAATTAATACAACCGAAGAGGCAGGGCACTATACTTTCCAAGGAGATAAACTATTTCAGGACAGAGAAGGTAGAATGGATACTTCAAAGATTTTGGTGTTTTGCCATCATTTCTCACAGGACTCCTGTGCATGTCTGTGTAAAACCTAGATCTGCAAGTCTGACAGGAGCCAGATTCAGCAACCTTTATTTAAGTGAAACTCACATTGACACAAATAAAAACAGAATGAGGAGCCAAACCATATTTTGTCTGGAAGAGCAGTACCTCAGGAATCACTAGCAATAGGATTTCAAATTGCGTCAGTCATGTACCTTATCTATTACCATGCAAAGTAGAATAATGCAATACAAGTCAGCAGCTTAGCATAACACAGGGCCCCAAGACAGGAAATGAATAGGAATACAATTTCCTTAACAATTTACTTACAGGAATTATTCTGCAAGACATTGCCCATGTCCCAGTGGAAGATACAGTCTGAATGCACAGGAAGCACTGGGCCATTGTGCCATGTCCCCTTAGTATCCATCATTCAACTCAGGTACTGCCCCTTCCATAAAATGGTGGCAGAAATTCCTTGTGCTGATCTTGCCATATGGAATGCCCAGAAAAAGCCAGGGAAATTGCTGCCTGGCCAGCACTACCCTGCCTGCTGAGACCGAGGGTACGCTAATTCTCTTCAACCTGCCTGTTAAAGGAATTATTCACCAAAACATTATTTCACAACTGATAGTAGAAAGCTCCCCTCACGCATTGCACCTGCATACCTCCTCCCCTCGTTGGAGGGATCCTAGAGGCCTCCTCTGCACTGCTTGTCAGTTCTCCAGGCAGCATGTGTCTGAAAAGCAGACAGTGTACTCTGGTGCCTGTCTTGCAGCTCCACCAGCAACACTAATCCACTGCTGTTTGTGTTTTGTTCTGGGAGATATTTGGGGTTAAGGTAATTGAAGGTTTGTAATGAAAATCAACCTTTTCCATCAAACCCACCAAAGCAAGCTTCAGGGATTAGAGACATACTGAAATAATGCATATTGTGTAACTGAACCAGATGGGACTATGCCTTTAGATGTGCTGCTTCAAACTCAGCTTGCTCTCTCTCCTTGCTCCCCCTTGCTCTGACCCTACCACACACCCATCCAGAGTAGAGAGCTACAGCAATACTCTTCTCATCACAGCTAGCTTACTAGCAAAAGATGTTTTAGGCAACTATCAGGCCGTTTGTCCATTCATCCCACAGTGCTTTAACCTCTCCCTGCCCCAATTTGTTCCAGGTGAGCTCAGGAATCAGTAGCCAAATAACCTTCAGCTGTAGATCACTTGCCAAGGGGCAGCTGTTCAAAGGAGACCACAGGCATACCCAGCCCTTAATTTAGAGGCTGAACACACCATGAGCTTGGATTACATTAGTCAGACAAATGCCAAAAACATTTTCTAGGATATTTATGATGGGTTTCCTCGGTGCTAGGACACAGGTGGTACTTCTTTCTATATTTCTGTTTTACAGCCCTCGGATCACATGTTTCCTGGAAGATGACAGGCAAAGCTCAGCCTTAACCAGGGCAGTGCTAGCCTGCAGTCCCTCCTTGCTTTGGCTCCACTTTGCATATATGGTTTCACAACTATATACTTTTTAAAAATTTTATATGAGCTTAGCAAATCCTTGATTCTAGATACTCATCCCCTACAGCTGTAGGCACAAATAATAAAATAGACAGTGATGAGTAGACCCTATAATGCAAAACTAAATGTCCAATTAGAATTTGATGAGAAAGTGTGAAATAAAACACATTAAACAGAATAAGAAGGTGGGACAAGAAATCAATTTCCCATTAAATTCAGTGGTTACTTTTTTTCTGATTCTCAATGTTAAAATCATCAGTTACACACATAATTTACTCCTTTACAGTCTGATTCTGTGTTCAAAGCAAAAACATGCATTATAGAATATGAATTAGCCTAGCCATCGCATGGAAATAAGCAGTGCTCTGTAGGTCTCTCCAGGCTCCCTTTAAGAAGAGCTCCACCAATGTCAGCTGGAGAGAAACTGCATTATATGCAGTTTTCAAGAAGGAAGTGGTTCTGAAGCAGCCTGCTACTTCACTCAAAGCAAGAGGCAATCTCAATTGGTGCAGAAGGTATGAAGCGGAACTTGGGAAAAGCCATGGAGATGTAAACATACCCCAAAGATTTGCCTTTGTGGATGTGACCAAAGGATGTAAGGCTGGTAAAAAATGCATCCTTCACTGAGCTTATGTAAGCAGCTGAGCACCGTGAATATAAGAAGAGTGGGAAAAGCCGCTTGTGAATGATTTCAGGACAAGTAGGCACAAGCATGATTTCTCTTTTACTTCATCTTGTTAACAGTGTCTTATACATATGTCTTGAAAATGTGATGCACATGGAGTTATTTTAAGCAACACACACAGATGTTTCATTTGTAGGGAGCAGTGATCCCACACTATTGAGTCATGTTTGCAGGGTCTGTAAATCCATTATGCTTCACTTCTACCTTCAGCAGGCAGTAAGATGCATGTCCGCTAAGCTGCATGTGGTTTTGAATAGTGGTAACAGCAGCCTATGGTCTAAAGACAAGAAATCCTGTCAGCACTGGAAAGGAGTTTTCTGGTATGGGGTAGGATGACAGGGACTATGCCTATATCCTGAGATGTACAAAGAAAAGTGCAACATCTGGTGACAAATGACCTTGCAAACCCACCTCCTTTAAGAGGCAGAAATTTTTGCACAGAAAAAGCAGGAAAAGAAATCAGATTTACCTCATTCATCCTTCATAACTCACAGAGTAAGTGCATCTTAAGAAACGAAGGCAGAAAAGTGCTATGAAAAGACAAGCAGATGCATCTAATACTTCAGCAAAACCTCTTTCTGAGGTGTCTGGAGACACCATGGTGGCTTCCTCATGTTTGTCTATGTTCTAAACCTTTTGCACTGTGTTCTTAGAGCCATACGTGGACCACATTATTTTGGGTTGCAAACCACAGACACCCATAAACGCTGAAAAGCAGCTGAATGTAAGAGAGAACAATGCGTTCTTTAATGGGTTCAGGCACCTTTCTCTTAAATCCAAGAGTTTAAAGTCAATTCCAGCTGTCTTGGATTGTCCCTTGCTGGTAAAGAGCCTGTAAGTAAATTGTTAATTCAGAACCCCCTAGCTGTGATCATTAATGGATTAAATTCAGTGTTAAACCTTGCTCCAGTCTCTAGAGCACTGGCTCAGCTCTAGGGTACTGGTATCTTGCATGCTACTTTGTACCCACGTTTATCTTTTTGTGACTGTCTTTTTCAACTGATAACAGGGGGGAAAAAAAGCTCATGGCAGTTATTTCTTCATTTTACACTAATTTATCCTCTTACCCTTTCTACAAGAGCTGCAATATAATGTTTCAGTAGAGCAATGCTTTGAAAATTTGGCTCAAGGAGACACTGAGCAAACAGCTTTTCAGAGAGCTTCAACTCAGCTGTCAGAAGGGGCAGTTTGGTTTCTGTGCAAGCAATACTCGCATTCCAAACTGCATTAGAGAAAAGCCGGTGGGTTTGTACGCATTTTTATTATCAGTTCCAGATTAGGAATCTGATGCTAATTTCTTCTTAAAGCCTATGTTTGCAGTAGAATTTATATTCTAAAACAAAAAAAAAAAAACCTGATTGTGATGTTTTTCTCTCACTAGCTCACTCTTTTTTTTTTTTTTTTTCCCCCCTGGCTTTACTCCAAGGACCTTTTCCGCTTTTTTGTTACATTCTCAAGATGAAGCACCCGATGGTTACAGCAGTGCTGGTAGTACTGGTGCAGGTTTCTCAGAGTTTCCCTGCCTTGTACCACCGAGGTTGGTGGAGGCTGTTAAAAGAAGGAGATAGTTGTGGAAAATGCGATTTGGCACTTTGCTCTGTGCCTAAAGACTGTCCAGCTGGGACTGTATTGGACCGTTGTGGCTGCTGTCCTGAATGTGGAAATGTGGAAGGTCAGATCTGCGACTTGGACCAGAGCAATTATTTCTATGGGCAATGTGGGGACAACCTTGAGTGCAGGTTGGATGCTGATGAAGCAAGGTTTGGGGAAGTCCCTGAACCCCAATGTGTGTGCAAGACTCAAGAGAGCATCTGTGGACCTGAAGGGAAAACCTATGAGAACATCTGTCAATTCAACAAGGCTTATGCTACAAAAAGAAATATCAGCATGAAACATAAAGGACCATGTGAATCAGGTAATATGTACAGAGGCACTTCCAAACTGAAAAAAGATCTGATTCTGATTTTCATCTGTGTTACTAGATGCTATAGTCTAATTTTATTAAATACTGCATTTTTCTTATAATTATAATTATTTTGTTATAATATTTATAATTTATTTTGTTATAATACTACTTTGTGTTAAACATGTAGTTCAGCAGCTGGTACTTAATCTTGTATGTTATAAGCCTTTGTATTAGACTGGTGGATTAAATCACATGGAGCCATAGATCTACAGACTAGCTCTGCTCTGAATAAGCAGAGTATTAGATATTTTCTACAAAACTTCTATCTGTAGTTGGGAATAGGTAAACAGATAGGATAGTCTGGAGGACTGGACAAATTATTATTATTATTATTATTATTGTTGTTGTTGTTCTTATTATTATTATTATTATTATATGAGGACTGACCTGATATTAAAGTGGTGATAGCAAGGCAGATCTCATTCATATATATATATATATATATACACACACACACACACACACACACACATGTGTATGTATATATATGTGTATGCATGTTGCATCTACCTGTGTGTATATATGATGGGCAGTGAAGTAGAGGTAAGAGAAGAAAACAGAACTTAATTAACAGGTCTGTTCTTTTCACAAATAAGTGCAAAATAATCCAATTTTGGAATCATCATAAAAACTATCTAACCCATGAAATAGAAATCCAAATATTAGAACAAAACCAAACATTTTCCCAAAAGACACTGACACTGCCTGAACAGTTGTCTGTGATGATTGTTAGTGGAAAGTTTTAGCTGGGTAGTACGGGGGAATCATGTCTCCTGCTCATACGCTGTTCTCATTCTTCACATTATTACAAGTCTTTACTTCTGGGCACCTTTCACCTAAGTCACATGAATGTAAAATGAAAAAGTGAACAGGCTTTTGTTTTCTGAATGAGAAGCTATTAATTTTTTTTAAAGTTAATGAAATATTTTCTCAGATGAAGTAAGTAGAAGAGGTCTCTGGGTCACAAATAAGTCACAGTTCTGGGAATTTGAAATTGCATCTCTGGCAAAGGTCCATATATGAGAGTAACTCGGGTATGTTTTACCCACACCTTGCTAGCAGTCTGTTGCCTCCAGTTTAGACTGTGTGCCGTGCTTTCATATCGAATGAACACTGGACAGGGAATACCAGACTTCTTTCTCTAGTTGCAAGAGAAAGATCCATTAAAGAATCCCTTATTCGGCATTAGAGTATTAAGCTGGGAAATTAGGCTTGTCAGTAAAGAAACATTCAGAAAACTGAATGCATGCCAGCCCCCAGTATGATTGAAAGCCTGTTAGCCCTCCAGTAGGTGTTCTTATTTGGGATTAAAACAGGACTAGTTCTTGCAGCATAACCCCTTCAGGAAGATTTCAGTTTGAAGTGCCACTCTAGTAACGAGTGGTGTTACCTTTGCAGCAGAGGTAGCTGTTCAGGCATGCAGTGCCTTACAGCAGTGGTCCACTCTTATTAATTAAGCAGAACTGGCCATGTACAAAAAGTTTTAATTTGAAAGTACTACCACTTTCAATTGCTGGTGTCGTCATCCACCTGCAGTCACCCCAGAGGTGTGTAACACCATTCATCAAGCAGAGGAGTGAGCTCAGCTGCTCTGCATGCAGGCATCACCCCCAACACTTTCCCACTGCTTCCCTGGGTCCCCAGAAAGGCTGGACCCCCTCTCCAGGAACGCAGAGAAATTTTCTAGGTTTGCTCAGCTTACTGAATTGCACAGAAGCCTGGGGGAAAGTTCATAGCTGTGTCAGTGCTGTGCAGATTTTAGTTAAAGAAAAATGGGGGCCTGTCTCCTTGGCTCTTGCAGAGGGACGTGCCCAGCTGGAGCAGAACACTTGAGCGTGAGGTGGGTGCTGGGCTCGCCGGGAAGCGGGAGCACAAATGCACCTCTTCTCAACCTCCCTGAGCAGCAGCTGACCTTGCCGGCTTTGCAGATTCCTCCCCGGAAGGAGCCTGGGCCTCTGAGGAAGCAGCAGGGCACAGAGGTGCACCATGCCTCAGTCCCCCCTAAGAGTGTACCAGTGAGCTCCCTCTTTGCCACGGCAGCTCTCTGAAGCAGCACACTGGGCCTGTGAAGGTGCACGGTGATTTAGACTGTTTTTTCACGGCTGCAACTGATGACAAAAGGCAACAGGGAGTCTGGCTCTAAGAGTAGCAAACTCGCTGCGGCACTCACTTTCCGCTGACTCCAATTTGCATAAGAGACAAACACTGAATACTGTGGGGTTTTGGTACCAGGCTATAAATATAACCTTCACTCAACTCAAAGTACTTTGTTTTGTTATTTTTCCTTCAAAGCATCTGCTGTTTCCTATTGATGCCAAACGGATTAATTGTATACAGCAACCAATGAATAAATAAATAACAATAAACTCCTTTCATCAGAAGAGTATAGCCTTTTATCTTTCATCTAGCACCAGAAAAAGAAGAAGAAAAAGGCCTAGCTCCCTAAAAAAACATTGAAAAAGCCTTTCTTCTCCTGAAACCTAGTTTTGATCAGTTTATCTAATAATTTACCAAGGTTACAAAGTTATATACAGATTCTCCACACTTAATCCATCCCCATTCACATTCAAACCTCTCTTGCTGATGATTTAATAAAGTAACAGAACAATCTAGCAGTGATTCTCTTTGTATTTAGCTGTGTCAGATACTTTATTTTAAATGTAAATTTAGGAGTGAAAAAAAAGTAAACAAGCCACGAAATTTTCTGCCATTTTCATCAAATCAGACATAGATTAGCAAAAATCAGTAACTTAAGGGGAAGAAAATTTATCATATTATCTAATTAATTAGTCTGGAGTGATACTGAGTTAATATTGATTATGAAAGGTGAAGCGGTATTTTTACTTTTCCTGGCTTCTGGTTTATGTCTTCTGTAACGCATAAGGATAATGCATGACTGGAACTGTAAAAGGAGAGGAGCAACAACTGCACATTCACTCCAGACACTGAGACATCAGAATGTTTTCTATAGCTATCAAGAAAAAATTTGTCTACTCCAGGAATCAAGATGACATGTTATTGTAACAGTAAATATCTGTTAAATATAAATAAACAGATATTTCAGTTATGCAAAAAAAGTACACACAGTTATGCATGGGAGAATTCGACAGAACACAAAATCTGTAACACTCAAAAACGAAGTTTGTAAATTTCTGTTAAAATGATACATCATTATTTCAATGTTCTGTGAAATACAGCAGAACAGTGTTGTGAGACACATTATTTCTGGAGGGACTTCAAGTTTGAGTAGATGACACAAGTATTTCTTGTGTGTTCAGATTCAGAAAAGGCTTTTTTACATTAAAACTGTGGTTCTTCCTACTTGCTATGAGTTTGATCTCATAATGCCAGTCATGGTCAGCCCCGGTGCAGCAAAGCCTTTACCTCTGTAAAAGTACTCAGCTGGGGGGACTCCCACCATATCTAGACATTTCCAAGCAATCATCTCTATTCGCCCTACAGTCAGTGGAGGAAGGGGTATTTCTAGTGTGGAATTGGTCTTGGTGTACAGTAGATAGTGCCAGACAAATTTCTTGTAGGTGAGCAGCTATAATGTAGGTTTGTAATTCAGACCCTTATGCCCTCCAGGCTACGGATGTGTTTAGACGGCGTAGTGAAGCCAGAGCCCGGCGTAGGGAAGCCAGAGCCCTCATCCTCATGCAGCTGAGCCATGTCTGTGGCTCAGTCACATGAGCAGGCCTCAGTTCTTGGCAATACTTCGGTGTTGTCATTGTATCCATAGGACATCTGTGTTAGCACCAGAACAAAAATACTAACCAGTGAACAGCTGCCTACTTAAAAATTTGTTCATGCTGTCTTTATATAGCAATAATTTAAAGAACTCATATGAGTCAGTGTAGACATCTGGTTTCTTTTTAAGTTTAAGCTTAACTACAGTGGATGTATCATTAAAAGGAGTGTGATTATACTGAGTTTTAATATTTCAAAGAATGTTTTAATATCAGACGCTATGTGTTAAGTTCACAGGCAAAAAATTTCTCACCCAAGCTATTCAGTTAATGCTGATTTGAATACAAGATTTTGGAAGTAATATACATTCTGAATGTACAGTTCTCATGAAAGAACAAGTATTAAAAGTTCTAAGTATCCTAATCTGAAAATCTTATTTTTGAAGATCCTTTTGAGGATTGTTTAATGAGGCATTCATAAATGGGGAAATCAATACTTTGATGTATAATTTGTTTGCAATTAATTTTCATCAGTATGCATTTGATATTCTCTGCACAGAAAGCAATCCTGAAAAACTGAAAAATGTCTTAGAAACTTTGCTTGAAAACCTGGAACAGGCTGTTTCAATTTCAAATACTGAAGCACAAATGCTGTACCTAAATATTGATTTGAATATTGCAAGTAAAAATGTATTAATTATTTACTACAAGTTTCTATTTCCAAGCATCTGTAATCTGTATAAAAATACAAGCAATCTGTACAGAAATAAAAGTCTAGTGGCCCAGAAAATACATTCATTTTTAAACACTGGTACGGAAATAGAAAGAAAACAGGAAAAGCATTTCTTGCTGAGGACAAACAGATCAGGAAAAAAAAAAAAAGAGATCTCTGAAACAGAAAAGCTGTGATAATAGTAAATATGTTATTTTGCTCTCTGCTGCTAAATATCATCATCTCCTGTTAACATTTAGTATGTTCATACATGCTCACAGGGGGATATGTATTTAAATCATGTATGAATGCATCAGGTGATAATTTATTTTTTCAGTCTTCAAATCCCTGGACTGGCTCCCTCTTGTGGTAAACGTCAGCTTTTCTTTGGGAAAAAGTGGGAGAGTATAATTCAGAGGCAATAAATAAAGAGTGGAGGGGGATGAGGGTAAGGGAACAAGAGGAAACAAGTGGAAATCTAAAAATTGTAATAGAAATAACACACCTTATAAAAATAATTGGCTTTCAATCACTTGTCTCATAACAAGAATATCAGATGAAATTGATAGCAATTGAGGACAAATGTGAAATTGTGAAAATGTGAAAAAAGCTGTATTAAAGCTGTTATTCTGTAACTTGTTGCAATGAATTCCATGGCTAACAGAGTGGGACAGGATTTTAGCCAGTTCAAGGCAATGATGTACTCAGAAAACAAATTCTGACAAGCTAGCAATCTCAGTATTTTGACTTTTAAGCTAACCAAAATGTAACAGAAATTAAGAACTATCACGTGCGATCAAATTACTCCGTGATTTTCTACTGCAGAATTTCTTGTACATTCCTCTGAAGAGTAGTGCTGGCTGCTTAACTGGTGGGCCTTGAGTCTAGTCCACGATGACAGCTCATGGGACACAAATGAAACTTTTGATTTCAGCTTAATTTTCACAATCATGTGCAAGAAGAACAGGCGAGTCCTTTGAAGTAAGTGTTTTTAAAAAACTGTTTACCCTTCAATGGGACACAAGGTTTCCTGAGCTTTAAAAGCTGCTTAGAATGATGTGGCTCTTCATAATGTGAGAGATGGCAAAAGGCAAACCAGTTTTATCATGTAAGGAGGAATGAATGTTGCACACTTTTGTGTTTGTGCTGCCTTTTGTTCACTGTCTTCTAAAGCACCATTGTCTGTTCTTTGCAGCTCCTATTATTTCTGTGCCACCTCAGGATGTCCAGAACTTCACAGGCAATGATGTCATTTTTGGCTGTGAGGTGTCTGCCTATCCTATGCCACACCTTGAATGGAAAAAAAAGGGGAATAAAATGTTTCTGCCAGGAGATGATGCTCACATCTCAGTGCAGGTAAAACTTGAGTTTTCCGAGTCATATAGTTTGGGATGTGGAGAAGAGGGATTAATCAGTGAATTTCTCCTACAGAATACAACACTGTTGCAATAAATAGTTTCCCAAGGGGGCCCTCTGACTACATAACGATTATGATTTCAGACAGTGCAAGGATCATTACTTTGGCAGTCCAAGCAGAAGAACTAACAGTCAGGGTACCATCTGGCTCTCACTTCAGGGAAAGAAAATATGGAAGATTCTCCTTATGTAGGTATGATTCTGGAAAAAATGAATGAACAGATAAATGGAACTGGTTAGGCTACTACCTGAAAGAAGTTGCATTCTGGGAAGGATGGATGTTGCCAACAATTTTTCTACTCTTGATGCAGAAGCACAATTCTGGCAGGTCCCTAAACTTCTGCTTTGCAGGATGCTGTTTCTGGACACCTGCCATTTGGGTCCAGTCCCTGAGGCGTTCAAAAGGAAAGCAAAGAAACTTGGTCATTTTATGGAGGACACTATGTTTTAATCAAAGGGGAAAGAGTAGAGTGGCATTAGTATAGGCTTCAAGCAAATATAGAAATGGCCTGAAGGTTTGAGCTAAAATTAAATAAATGAAAATGCTAATTCTTTTAAATGGAAATAATATTATGATGAGACAAGCTAACAAAGCCAAATGTACAGGCAGACTGCAGGAAGGCTGAAGTCTGCATCTGCATGCCTTCTCCAATGGACAGAGACTATGCAGAGAAATGCATGGCAAATCTATCTGGATATACAACCCAAAAGTGGTAAGATCCAGTGAACAGGGGGCACAAACTGATAGGTAGATAGAAAAAGCATGTAAAAAGCTAATTAACATACCAAAAGTACTGAAGTACTAAGGCTCTTAAGTTGTTTTGAAAAGTTTCCAGAAGCAGCATGAACACAAGTGGGATTAGTAGAGATAAATTGCTCAGAAACAATGGTGCAAGGAGCCACATCAAAATGCTGATCTCCTCAGAGGCTAATTTGAACCCTGTTAACCTCTCTCATTAATAGATACAGCATGAGAGCATCTCTGTTAACATCTGTTAATGGGTTTGTGTTATTTGTTTGGAAAAGAAATCTCACTCCTTTAAGAGCCTTTAGCCCAAGTCAGTTGAAACTGATTGTCACTAAGCGTCAAAGTTCATGCCAACCCATTAAAACCTGGATGCTGAGTGTCAGCTTGGGGAGGCCACCTGGCCATGAACAACTCACCCAGACCCACCTGCCACTTTCATCCTGAAGAAATTTATGACCTTGAGATGAGGTGACAATGCTCTGAAGCAGCAGCAAGAAGTGCTGGTGAGACATGAGACAGGATGAGCACTGGCAACCAGTAGTATGAAAAGGAACAGCAATGAGAGCACTGTGAAGGGCAATGACGTTTAAAGGGCAGAGATGGGAAAGCATGAACTCAGCAGCACAGAGCAGTAAGAAGTTAAATCATAGGGCAGCAGAAACAAACAGAATCAAAGTATGATGGCAGTAAACAAAAAGCAAAAGTTGGAACGATTTATCTATCCACAATTATTTTGAGAAATATCACGGTGTTTCCTAGCTGCTGAATTTCAACTGTTTCTTTCTCTTCTCAAAGGCAAGAGGTGGGCCTCAGAAGTACGGCGTGACAGGCTGGCTGCAGATTCAAGGCCTCAAAAAATCAGATGAAGGCGTTTACATCTGCCACACCAAAAATAAGTATGGTGCAACATATGCCTCTGCAAGATTGAAAGTCATTGATGGTATTTTTTTTTTATTTGGATGTAAAGAATATATAAAAGCATACAAGCAGGCTGCAAAGGATGGGTTTGTCAGAAAGCAAATGAAGGATGTGAGAAATTACCTAAAGATGTCCGTATTTTATGTGTGCTCTTCATCTATTTTATCCTCTAACAGGTTAATATTCTAATGCCAACTTCCAGAAAACAGAAAGCTGTGGATTATAGCCATACAGCTAAGACATATGATTCCACTATCCTTATCCTACAGAAGCTCTTTGATGTTAGTAGGAACGCTGCACCCAGAACAACAGCTGCTGTAGCTGAGGGAGTCTTTGAACTGTGGCAGTTCTGCTTAGCTGTTTATTTAAAAAAAAAAAACCAAAACCCGAAGGAAACAGTTATTGCTCCTTAATGAAAATGTTTGGAAAGATTTAAGAAGTAGCTTTACTATTGTTTTGCATTAGGCCAAGTCTTGCAGAATAACATCCTTCTTCCTGCAGGGAGAACTGGGTTTCCTTGGCAAATGCAGGATAGAGATGTATTGTCTTATATTTGCCTCCTGGTATAGAGGAGTTTGTCACTGGACTAGTTTGCTACTGACCTTGTTTCTGCAAGTGGTTTTTAAAGCTTTACTGGCTCTAGTCATATTTTCAGGTGTATAAGATCTGCAGAGGACTGAACTCATAGTTTACTAGTATTGGGAATGAAATGTATTTTCAACATCTTAAAATGTGAATGATATAGAAATTTGCTTATATATCATGAGCTTCAGTGGTATGAGGTCAAGTCATTGTATAAAAAACCTCTCCTTTTAGTAGGTAACTTAACAAAGACTCAGAAACACTGACCTTGCCATACAGATCCAAAGCCATGCTTTCCTCTCTGTTCCTATCTACAACTAACTTAATCTGGATTCAATTATGTCTTGTAGGCTCATCTCCTGCATTTGCATTTACTGCTGGCAGTAGAAGTGCAAGCTACAGCATTGAATATGAGGACTATTATGACCATTCTGATGATGAAGATGAGGAAGAATATGAATCCGGGGACTATGAAAATTGAAACAATTCTGACTAATAATTTTTATGTATCTGTTGTCCAATACCTTCCACACTCTGTTATATTTACTAGTAGTCTGTGCTGTAAACGGCTCCTTTGATAACACACATATTCACTTGTGTATCCATCTTCCTGAAATTCAACTTTGGCTGAAGTGTATCATGCTACTTACCAGAAATAAGAACAGTTGTAAATCCATACATTTAGTCTGTTAATTAAAATTCTTAAACATCCACCTGTCTACTAAGTATATGGAAGGGATCAAATTTTATATTAATTTTTAAAATGTAAATTAAGCTATAATTTTTCAAACATTCTGATTTGTCTAGCAGAAATGTCTATATTTAAACAAAATTTTTACCTTGTATCAATTCCCTTTTTTTTTAATGTATTAAGGAGATATCAAGAGACTGTTCACATGGCAACAAGCCTAAGTATGAAGGTTGCAAAATAGTCTTTAATCTCCTTAGTTCATGTTTTCTCATAAGTTTCAGCAAGATTTTACTTCTCATTTGAAATTTTCTATGGTTAGTCTTATCAAGGATGAAATAGCTGTCTTTTGGGGGGTTATTTTGTTTACTTTTAATAGATACATGAAGCAATCACAGTCTAAAGCAAGTGCATGGTTTTACTAGTAGAATATCCAGAAAAGATTTCTTGTACATGCAAACAGATAAGCACATCTTTTGACTTCTTTTTGTAACAGTTCTTGCACTAACAGTGTCGGCCTCTTTCCACCAGTCTAAGCAACGGTTCAAGATTTGGGATCATTATTTTTACTCTGAACAGCATCATGTTTGGTGAGAATTACTGTAGTTTAAAGAAGGTAGCTCACTGCATGCCCATCAAATACAGAGAGATCTGCACAACAGAGCCACTATTTGTCCTTTGTCTTGGACTGTCCTCTATGTGACCCATCTATATGATGTCCAACTAAAGTGCATTCAGCATTGCCACGCTTCTGGAAATGGCAGACAGAAAAGCAGGCATCATTTTCATTTTGAAAGCCACCAGAACACATGCACATTTTTGAAACTGTCTCAACCACTTCTTGATCAGCATGAACCAGTGCAAATGAAATGTAACTCAAAACCACAAGACTTCAAATTGTAAAGCGATCACCCTGAAAAATTTCTCCACTTATTCTTGCCAACTAATTACATGAAAGCTGTCTCTGAATTAATGGGTGCTGGAAGACACTAAACTATGAAAAGTACTTTTGGGAGGTGGTAACACCTTATGGTTGCCATTGTCTGAGGACAGATGAATAGCAGTAAATTACTGAACACCCTCCCGCACACTCCCCAGAAGGGTTCAAGGCCAGGTTGGACGGGGCTTTGAGCCCCATGGCGGGGGGGGTGGAGCTGGATGATCTTTAAGGTCCCTTCCAACCCAAACCATCCTATGATTCTATGATGGCATTAATGACTAAAGAAGCAAAATTTGGGGCATCTGCCTGTCTTGGTATCTGCAGTCTTCTTTATCCAACGCACAATACCATGTAGTGATTACTGCACACGTTGAGGTAACTCAAAGTTAAATTACCAAGTTAAGGAAGCTTTAAGGGCAATCTTACTGTATGCATTCACATATTGCATAGATTTTTTAAATGTATATACAGTGCATCACTAATTCCTCCTTTAATGTGCTGGTTTGTGCTTTTTTTGCCATTAGGCAGATTTTTCCTTTCAATTTGTATTACGTTACAGAATTGGCTATGGACTGTCTGCCCTGAGGTATTATTGATCTTTGTCCAGGTAGCAAACGAGCAAGGAATAATTTATTTTGTTTCAGACTTCCTGCAGTATTGTCAACTTATGGGTAGAAAGCATGCTGCTGTGTCATCAAAAAGATTAATTAGTTTTAATTAGGAGTATGAAATGGCTTCATATTTAACTACTGATTTTGTTGTTATGGGCTCTTCCTAGTCTTCTTAGTGATATGGCTAATAACTTTTTTTGCTTATCCACTATATATTAACTTGAACATAAAATTGTCTGGTAGAAATCACTGATTTTTTTTTAAAGTAGGTATTTTTTATGGAACTATTTAATCTGCAGACATATATTCATGATCAATTGTGATCTGCATTGCAAATGAATTAATTACTAAACCAATCACTAAATTGTGGCAATATATACTGGCATAGACTAGTGCTTGGCATAGATGATAATCCTGAAATCATTAACCATTGAAATAAATTAGAATTCTTCAGGGATTTTTGCTGGTTTTAATATAAAAATGAAAAACAGAAAGAAAAGAATTTGAATAAGAAAATGCATAGCAGAACAATATCAAATACCTGTCTGCAAATGTTGGGCCTGATGAACTTTGTCTATTTAAAAAACCCCCTAACCTTCCCAGAACAAAGGGTTCTAAATTAAATATATTTAATTTGTCTCTGTACGTATTTTTAATATATTTAACTATTTGTTGTAAATTATCAGTCATTCCTTTCAGTAAGAAAACTGCATTTTAGGAAAAATCCCAAAGGGATGCAAAAAAAAGCAGGAACACTGATACCATGAACATTTGCTACTTCTTTTTTTGAGGGGACAAAAATGGCTGGTTCTGTTTATATGCTTTAATCAAGTCACTTAAAATTAAATAAAAAAAGCATGGAGAAGATTCAGTCCTCTCTAAGCAGCATGGCAAATGAATGGATCTAATTTTGAATGCATTGCCTGTAGCAACAGATCTATTCACATAATCCAAAGTAACAGCAAATTCAAGTTAGTTTTATTCCACCTAGCAGAAAATGAGACAGACTTGAGCTGGAAACTGTATATTAATACTGCAGGGAGGTCTCAGTACTGTATCTGTGAGGCAGACCTAAACCTCTTCTTTAATTCAGCTTCCACTGAACACAGCAAGAATTTTGTTATCTTTCATAGAAGCAAATCTGAATTTCATGGCACAACTTCCTCCTGTCAACACTTGTCACACAAGCATCTTCACCATGTCATTTTCCCCTCCCATGAAAATACAAAGGAATTCTATAAAAGTTTTTAAATAAATTACACTCCTTAATGAAGCTTTGTCCTTTGGGCTACGACTCTGACATAATCTGGGGTGGTTTCACAATCAAACATTCTTAGTTGCTGTGTTAAATCTCAGGAGTTTTGTCAGGTATTAGTCTAGGAATCTATTAATTCTTTAGCTAGACCAATTTTTCCCCCCTTAAAATAATCAGGCTACAGTTGACAGAAATCGGATATAGAAATGCAATTGCCTATGTCTCAGAGATTAAAATGATTCAACGGATGATTAAATAATGTACAGTCACATGGCTGCACTGTGCAGCTGAGCACACAGCTGAGCGAGTGCTCCCTGCCCACCCCATGGTACAAGCTTTGTGCTCTCAACTTCTGTTTGTGCTCACACATCAATATGAAAAGGAGACCCACGCTGGAGGGGAATGGGTGTTTCTGGCTAAGAAGCACACTTGCCTGGAAACTGGCTCATTGCTGCAGAAGCCACAAGCTCTCACTCACGCTTAGCTACATATGCTGTCCATAGATTACCCTCAGTTCTCGAACTATTTAACATATTAACCTCATTTCTGCGTGTCTTTGCATAGCTCAGTGGCACAGCCTAGGCAATGGCCTGACACCTGGAGCAGGATGCACTGTCACTGCTAGAGCTGATGCTCTGCTCACAGGGTCAAGGTCTTTGAAGGATATGCAAGAGCTTCCCCTTAACCTTTTCAACCCGTACTGGCAAACTGCTTCTGGCTTTTCAGACAGTTTCTAATTGTATTGCACGGGAAAGTCTCCCAAATTTACCTCATTATAATTTATGTCTGACTCTTCTCACCCCTGAGTCACCATTTCATTCCCTGTTCCTCAGTCTTGGGAATTCTGTTTTGATCTGTCCCTCTGCTCTTTCAAATCCTTTCTGTCCCCTTTCCTCTGTACGTATCACTAGCCCTTTTATTCCACTCCTGATATGTTTTGTGACTCTTCCTTGCTTTTAGACTATGGCTATAGATCAATGATTCTATTTCTTCACAGGGTAAAGGATGAAAAAATGGGTTAAGGCATATGCCAGGACTGAGGCAATCATTAAGGGACTGGGTAATCTGAAGCAGCTTTTCAAGAATGATCCATTTGACTTTCAGAAGTGCCAGCCACCAGTCAGTTGTGAGGGCAAGAGAACAAGAAATGCATTTAAAAACATTTTCCATTTTGACTGTGCTTCATTCTCCAATAATTAATTGAGGTATTTTGTACAAAAGCATGTGGTTAAAAGATGGTATCATCATTCAGCTGTGACAGTTCAGGTACAAAGAAATTACACTTCCTGCCCCAATTACATTGTTACAACCGTTTCTCAACCCTGCTGCTAGGTGAACCGGCTAGGAATACAGCTAATTCATTTTTTCATTCCAGGTCTAAAAGCAGCTTACATTTCCAGAGGAATTCTACCAGTTTGGTACACAGTCAGTGACAGGCTCTATAACCCACCCCATACAACCTCACCAATTTCTGCCCATTACAGCAGCTCATATACCTACAGTGTCACCTTGTAGAAGAATGACCACTCTTGATCTAGTGGCAGGGAATGCACCATCTTTTAGTGCAAGTTATTCCAGTGGACAACTGCCAGCATTGCTTATTTCTGTTCTGAATTTGTTCAGCTTCAGTTTATGGTGGTTAGACTCAATTACACCTTTTCCTCTGAAGAAGCTGACTGCATTAAAACAAGTTTTTCCCATGCAGGTACTATTTTTCAGGTCACATTATGCCCTTAACTTGGATAATGTTCATATTGACCTTCTTCTCTCTAATTTACATGGCGTGTTTTCCTCACTAACCCTGAATTATTCCTTTAACTCTAGAAAGAGGGTATCTTGGATCACTGTCTTTGCAGTACTTAAACCTAAGTAAAATATGTCTCTGTGTTACTTCTAAGTGTTTGCAGTCGCAGACTCTGCTGGTTATCTGTACCAGTGATTAGCAAAAATGGGAATTATCCAACTGGAAACCGAGACAACTCTATTCTCTAATTTCTTTGATTCTTTATAGGTGTCTGTAGAGGGTGATTCCTCCCTTTCTGGGATAACTGGCAATCTGTCCCTTTGGATGCAGCTGTACCACCACCTGACCACCACCTCTTTGGCCTTCTGTATTGAAGCAATGTTCTTGGGTTTTTCCACTCTCAGCAACCATCCAGCAGTTTCCAGAGCAGAAACTCCTGGCAGCTGCCCTGGGCCAAAAATCACTTT